ACTCCTGACCTCAGGTGATCCACCTGCCTCAGCTGCCCAAAGTGCTGGGATTACAGGAATGAGGAAACACAACCAGCGAACAATTTTTATCTTATTTTTGAGATGAAGTCTTGCTCTGTGCAAGAGCTGGAGTGCAGTGGCATGATATCGGCTCACTGCAACCTCTGACTCCTGGGTCCAAGTGCTTCCCATACCTCAGCCTTCCAAGTAGCTGCAATTACAGGTGCCTGCCACCACACCTGGCTAATTTTTGTTTTTTTAGTAGAGACTGGATTTCACCATGTTGGCCAGGTGATCTCAAATTCCTGACCTCAGGTGATCTGCCTGCCTCAGCCTCCCAAAGTGTTGAGATTACAGGCGTGATCCATCATACTCAGCCTTTATTTTAATAGCTATCTATTGCCTTTTTCTAGAAGATTTCTACTTAAACAAATCTTGCTTTCCATACTTGGGAACCAATTAATTGTTAAAAGCAATTGGAGTTGGAGTCAGACCACTTGGGTCTGGGTCTGGATCATGTTCCCAGCTGTGTGACCTTGGTCAAGGTACAAAACCATTCTGTGCTTTAGTTTCCTCATCTGTCACAAGGGATAATAACAGTACTTACCTTGCGGTATTGTCATGAGGATTACATAAATTATGCATTTAAAGTGTTTATAACAGAGCCTGGAACATAATAGTACTGTATAAGAGGAACCATATAGATATTCGCTAGTGATTAATTTTGTTTTTTTTTTTTTTTTGAGACGGAGTTTCACTCTTGTTTCCCAGACTGGAGTGTAATGGTGCAATTTCGGTTCACCGCAACCTCTGCCTTCCAAGTTCAAATGATTCTTCTGCCTCAGCCTCCCAAGTAGTTGGGATTACAGGCATGTGCCACCATGGCTGGCTAATTTTTTGTATATTTTTTTTGTTTTTTGAGACAGAGTTTCGCTGTTGTTACCCAGACTGGAGTGCAATGGCACGATCTCGGCTCACCGAAACCTCCGCCTCCTGGGTTCAAGCAATTCTCCTGCCTCAGCCTCCTGAGTAGCTGGGACTACAGGCACACACCACCATGCCCAGCTAATTTTTGTATTTTTAGTAGAGACGGGGTTTCACCTTGTTGACCAAGATGGTCTTGATCTGTTGACCTCGTGATCCACCCACCTCAGCCTCCCAAAGTGCTGGGATTATAGGCATGAGCCACCGCGCCCGGCCTAATTTTTTGTATTTTTAGTAGAGACAGGGTTTCTCCATGTTGGTCAGGCTGATTTTGAACTCCTGACTTGAGGTGATCTGCCCGCCTCGGGATGCTGGGATTACAGGTGTGAGCCACTGAGCCTGGCCAAAAGTTTTTTTTTTTGAGACGGAGTTTCGCTCGTTACCCAGGCTGGAGTGCAATGGCGCGATCTCGGCTCACCGCAACCTCCGCCTCCTGGGTTCAGACAATTCTCCTGCCTCAGCCTCCTGAGTAGCTGGGATTACAGGACGCGCCACCATGCCTAGCTAATTTTTTTGTATTTTTTTCTAGCTAATTTTTTTGTATTGTATTTCACCGCCCGGCCCAGAGCAGTGTTGTGATTTAAAAATAAATCTTGAAGGCTGGGCATGGTGGCTCACACCTGTAATCTCAGTACTTTGGGAGGCTGAGGGGGGTGGATCACCTGATGTCAGGAGTTCCAAGACCGGCCTGGCCAACATGGTGAAACCCTGTCTTATTTATTTTTTTTAAAGAAAGAAAGAAAGAAAAAAAAAAAAAACCTTGAAAAACCACACAGCCAGAAGTTCAGAAGAAAACCTAATGAAGATGTTGAACTCTTTTTTTTTTTTTTGAGATGTGAGTCTCTTGGCAGAGCATGGTGGCTCACGCCTGTAATCCAAGCACTTTGGAGTCCAAGGTGGGCAGATCACCTGAGGTTGGGAGTTCAAGACCAGCCTGACCAACATGGTAAAACCCCATCTCTAAAGAAAAAATAAAAATAGCTGGGCGCAGTGGCTCAAGCCTGTAATCCCAGCACTTTGGGAGGCCAAGGCGGGTGGATCACGAGGTCAAGAGATCGAGACCATCCTGGTCAACATGGTGAAACCCCGTCTCTACTAAAAATACAAAAAATTAGCTGGGCATGGTGGCGCGTGCCTGTAATCCCAGCTACTCGGGAGGCTGAGGCAGGAGAATTGCCTGAACACAGGAGGCGGAGGTTGCAGTGAGCCGAGATTGCACCATTGCACTCCAGCCTGGGTAACAAAGAGCGAAACTCCGTCTCAGAAAATAATAATAATAATAATAATAATAAGAGATGGGAGTCTCACTCTGTCACCCAGGCTGGGGTGCAGTGGTGTGATCTCAGCTCACTGCAACATCTGCCTCCTGGGTTCAAGCGATTCTCATGCCTCAGCCTCCTAAATTGCTGGGATTACAGACACGTGCCACTACACCTGGATAATTTTTGTATTTTTAGTAGAGATGGAGTTTCGCCATGTTGGCCAGGCTGGTCTCCAATTCCTGACCTCAAGTGATCCACCCACTTAAGCCTCCCAAAGTGTTGGGATTATAGGCGTGAGCCACTGAGCTCTAGCCTGCAATCAGTCTTGATTGCGCCACTGCACTCTAGCCTGGGCAACAGAGTAAAACTCTGTCTCACAAAAAGGGGGGAAAAAAGAGGTTAATAGAGTGGTGTCATGCTGAATTGGTTAGCCTTAAAAAGATTAAAACCCAGGTATCATTCCAGAATGGAGATGAGAGGTTGTTAGGGGTTAGCTGTGGGCAGAATCCAGGATGAGTTTCTGCAATGACCTGGAAGTAGGGAAAGACAGCCTGAGCCTGGGCTTAAAAGGGTTTGGCTCCTAGCAACCATGAGGAGCTGGAAAACGACCAGCATAGGCTTGGCCAGAAAGAGCAGAGTCCAAGGGTTGAGGCTAGAGGTGGAACCCATAGCCTTCAAAGGGAAAAGAGGCAGGGCCTGGGGAATGGGAGCAGAGCCAGGGGCTCTGCCTGGAATCCAAGGACAACTAACTGTGAAACCACCCACCTGGTTCCAAGCACGCAGCATAAGGGCAAAGTTTGTAGTCTGTCAGCTCACTGTGTTATAAAAGCAGCTTTGTCAAGGACAAGCAAGCCACCCCATGGGAGTGGGGAACAGGGACAGAATAGATGAGTAGGGAGACTCTGAACCCAAGGTCCCACAAACTGTTCTCTGGTTAGCAGTCTATCCATCCATAGGAAAGGGGACCTTTGCTAAGGCTGCCTCCAAGGGTCCCATGCAGCCTTAGAATCACAGCTGCTGCTCCCTTAACTTTGTGTGCCAGGCTCTGTGCTAAGCACTTCATTTAATAGTTAATAGTTAATAATTAATAGTTTTTTTGAGATGGATTCTTGCTCTGTTGCCCAGGCCAGAGTGCAGTGGTGTGATCTCGGCTCACTGCAACCTCCGCCTCCCGGGTGGAGATTCTACTGCTTCAGCCTCCTGAGTAGATGGGATTACAGGTGCCTGTCACCACACCCAGCTAATTTTTGTATTTTTAGTAGAGATGGGGTCTCACTATGTTAGCCAGGCTGGTCTCGAACTCTTGACTTCAGGTGATCTGCCTGCCTCTGCCTCCCAAAGTGCTGGGATTACAGGCATGAGCCACCGGGCCCGACCTGCCTAATTAATGGTTTTTACTTATAACTAAAAGAAATCAAGTCAGGTGTTTGTTTGGTTTTGTTTTTGAGACGGAGTTGAGCTCTGTTGCCCAGGTTGGAGTACAGTGGTGCAATCACAGGTCACTGCAGCCTTCACCTCCCAGGCTCAAGCAAGCCTCCCACCTCAGCCTCCCAAGTAGCCAGGATCACAAGCAGCACCACCACACCCAGCTAATTAAAAAATTATTTTTGTAGAGACAAGGTCTTACTCTGTTGCCTGAGCTGGTCTCAAACTCCTGGGCTCAAGGGATCCTTCTGCCTTGGCCTTCTGAAATACTGGGATTACAGGTGTAAGCCCGGCCTCAAACCAGATTTTTTTTTAATTTTTTTTGAGATGTAGTTTCCCTGTTGTTACCCAGATTGGAGTGCAATGGCACAATCTCGGCTCACCGCAACTTCCACCTTCTGGGTTCAAGCAATTCTCCTGCCTCAGCCTCCCGAGTAGCTGGCACTACAGGTGCGCACCACCATGCCCAGCTAATTTTTTGTATTTTTAGTAGAGACGGGGTTTCACCTTGTTGACCAGGATGGTCTCATCTCTTGACCTCATGATCCACCCGCCTCGGCCTCCCAAAGTGCTGGGATTATAGATGTGAGCCACCACACCCATCCAAACCAGATTATTTTAACAGGGTGATGCATTAGGAGGATACAGGAACATCTCTTTAAACTTGGGGCAGGAGGCAGCTGACCTCAGGAAAGGCCCAGAGGAGGGACTCCAGAGTGACTGGGATTCTCCAGCAACTCTTAGGTTCTTTCTGCCTCATCCTTCCTCCTTAGCTGACTGGCTTTTTCTGATACTCAGTCAGTAAGTCAGGGAGAAGAGGGCCACCCAAAGTTCCCATATTCCCATGTTATGGGTCCAACCACAGGAAGAAACTGAAGCTGGATCTGCTCTGATTCCTCAGGAAAAGCACCGGCCACCACAGGTCAGGTGTCCATTCTGGTTCCAATCAGCCATAGTGAGGGGAGAGGGCAGGCCACAAACAGAAATCTGACTGTGGTGGCTCTTCATGATGGCTCCACGGAGGAAGATGGGGACCTCAGTGTGTGTATGGGTTTGAATTCAGGTTTGTTTGGCTCCAATGCTAAGGGCTGGCCCTGCAAAGGGCAGAGGCAGAGCTGTGTTCACCAAGCCCATACGGGACATGGAGACAAGCACAAAACACCAAGTTCCATATGAAAATAAAACTTTCATTTGCCAAGGGAAATAGCAGTAGCTCCTGCCTTGTACTGAGCTTTCCAAAGACTAGGCAGGCAAGTTCCCTCTGGTCCCCTCTGGAAGTGGAAAGTGCTTGCCCTGGAGGACAGCAACAGAGCCAAGGCGAGGCCCTGCTCAAAGGTGAGCAGGGGTCTGGACTGACTCCTTTCGGCCCTTGCCAGCGATGGGCCGGCCTCGCTCCTCCCAGATGGTGAGGCCGTCGCAGGAGCAGATCTGCTTGGGGTTCTGGAAGAGGCCAGCGGAGCGTGCGATGATGCCGCAGGCCAACCTGCAGAAGAATGTGTGGTTAGGAGTGGGTACTTGTTTACACCTCCACCCCTGGGCTCCTCATGCACCATCCGCAGAGCATAGTCTCCTGCAGGGGCTGACACCACTCACCTCTCCCCAGAGTTCCCTGTGATCTTGGATAAGGGATGGCCTCCCCGGCCCAGGTCATCTTCTCCCTCATCAATAATCAGGCTGCGGCCAATCACATCCCACACCTGTGAGGGGAGACGACAGCCTCAGACAATGGACCCTGTTAGGAAGGGTGCCCACCTTCTTTTCCACCTTACCTTCAGCTGCCTATCCTCCATCCTGAAGATGGCACGGCCATCAGCATCAGCGCAGACATTGCCCAGGTCTCCACGGTGCTGGAATGAGACCCAGTGTGTGTATAGGGGGTGTATGCCATGTGGTGCCAAACTACTATCTTCTGACTTCATGATTCTGATGCCTCTTCCTGCTTCCCCAAAATACCCATTTCCTCCTGTGGGTACCAGTCTGGTAGAATCTGAGCTCTCCAAGGACTGGGCAGGCAAGGTCCCCTTGGCTCTCTCTGGAAATAGAAAGTGGTCACTTCCTCCCTGAAACCAAAATCCTAGGCAGACTAACAGTGGGCTGAAAAGAGCCGGTGAAAGATTCCCCTCCCTGTGCAGTCATCCCTTTGGACCAGACTGTTTTTCCTGTGAGGCCATTGCCCAGCTCTGCTTCTCAGCCTCCAGTTAGTCCAGTTCTCCAGCTTCCTGATGGCTCTATGAGCCCTTGGCTGTCTTTAATTCCCATAGGGATAAGTTGGTCAAGCTTGGCTTCCCTGACGATTATAGCCTATGTCATTTCCCTGACTCCCAGATTCCAGCAACAGAAGGAAACGCAAGGGGCAGAGGGCCTGTCCTGGCCCCTAGAAGCTGGCTCTGCCCTCCTTCACCCTTGAAGGTAATAAAAATTGTCATAACACACCAATGAGCACCTCCTAGGTCAGGCACACTCTACCAGGAATGGCGGGAGTATGCAGGGTCACCATCCTCAAGGGACCCAGAACAGATACAGAACAAATTAGGCGTCATGAGACACAAGGTGAATACAACAGTTGGTGTGTTTGGGGTGACCAGGCCTTACTGGTGAGCCACAGATACCCGCATCTGCGTCCTCAACCTGACATTTAGGGCAGAAACAAGCGCCTGTGCTAATGTGGGTAGGCTCCCACGACCGTGCTGCTGAGTAACCGGGCATCTCACTGTGCCACGAACTGAAGGGCAGGAAGAAGCGGCAGTTCTCCTTTATCTCGTTTTCCAGAGGGACATCTGCTGCCTGCCCCTGGTACTTTTTGCTACGCCCTATGTTGGGGACTTGAATAGTAGAAAGATGAAGGAGGGGGAGGTGATACAGAGCCCTGAAGAGTGGCTTTTTGTTTTTTGTTTTGATATGGAATCTCACTGCGATGCCCAGGCTGGAGTGCAATGGTGCAATCTTGGCTCATGCAACCTCTGCTTCCTGGATCAGCAATTCTCCTGCATCAGCCTCCTGAGTAGCTGGGATTATGGGATTACAGGTGTGCGCTCCGCCATGCCCAGCTAGTTTTTGTATTTGTATTTTTTATTTTTTTGAAACAGAATCTTACTGTTGACCAGGCTGGAGTTCAGTGGCATGATTTGGGCTCACTGCAACCTCCACCTCCCAGGTTCAAGAGATTCTGCTGTCTCAGCCTCCTGAGTAGCTGGGACTAGAGATGCATGCCCTAACACCCAGCTAACTTTTGTATTTTTAATAGAGACAAAGTTTCACCATGTTGGTCAGGCTGATCTCTGGACCTCACGTGACCCACCCACCTTGGCCTCCCAAAGTGCTGGGATTATAGGCATGAACCATCACACCTTGTTTAATTTTTGTATTTTTAGTAGAGACAGGGTTTAACCATATTAGCCACGCTGGTCTCGAACTCCTGACCTCAAGTGATCCACTTGCCTTGGCCTCCCAAAGTGCTGGGATTACAGGCATGAGCCACCATGCCTGGCCTGAGGAGTGTTTTAGGGACTGGGCAAAGCAGGCAGCCTGCACAGTGTGGCTAGAGGCATGACCCAGCAGCGGGTCAAGGAGAGGCAGCCTTTCCAGGATCTTCCCTCAGTACACAGCAGGAGGCAATAGGCCAAGGGTGGGGGTGGGGCACTGAATGTCCACACCAAGAAGCTAGGCCCAGCTTGTACTCTCAGGCACTGGGAGCCAAGATAGGTTTCAGGTAAGGGCATGGCCTGGTTACTCCAGGCTTCAGAACAATCCTTCTAGTACAGTCTATGAAAAGGAAGGACTAGAGCGGGGTGAGAACAGAAGGGAGCTTAGAGATCAGTTAGGAGATGTGCGGCTGGGCGTGGTGGCTCACACCTGTAATCCAGCCACTTTGGAGGCCAAGGTGGGCAGATTACCTGAGGTCGGGGGTTCAAGACCTGCCTGACCAACATGGTGAAACCCCATCTTAAAAAAATAAATAAAAAGAAAAAAGAAAGGAGATGTGCAAGGGACAACCAAGCTTGGATATAAATTCCCAGATGGAATTCTCTTCTATCTGGGAAAAGCAGATGCTGAAACCCAATAGTAACTTGCCAGTCACTGTGGCCTTGGCCGCTCAGCTCCTGCTCAGTTCTTCCCCATCTATATTAAGGGGTTAGGTGAGGTACAGCTACTGATGCCAGCCCCTTCTGATTTGCTACCCCACCTGGGGCCCAGAAGAAAACACAGGTCACAAGGCAGTCTCCTGCCCTTCAGAAATACTCAGTCCCTGCCAATCCATGCCTCCAGGGCTTTGCCTTGGCAGTTTCTTTTGCTGGGCCTATCATTCCCACTCTCAGCCTCTCCACCTGCCTACTTCCTGCCTGTCATCTTTCAAGGCTGCAGGAGGTGAAAGGCCTCTATGATGCACCTCCCTTGTGTGTGGGCTGGACCTAGTGTCACTTCTAAGATTAGGTTACAAAAAGAATGTGGCTTGAGTCTTGGATGCCCTTTCTCTCTCTCTCACTCATTCACTCTGAGGGAAGCCAACTGCTGTGTTGTGAGCGGCCCTAGGGAGAGAACTGCCATGTGGCAAAGAGCTGATGTTTCTGGCCAACAGCCAGGGAGGACCCAGGGCCTGCCAACAGCAACATGAGCAAACTTGGAAGTAGATTCTCCCCACCTGGAGCCCTGAGATGACTGCAGCCCTGAGAGAGACCCTGAGCTGCAGGCACGCAGCTAAGTCACACACAAATTCCTGCCCCAAAGACAGTGAATGTTTGTTTGTTTGTTTGTTTATTTGTTTTTCTCCACGCTCCGCCCCATAATGTTTGTTGTTTTAAACTCCTAACTTTGGAAATCAAGTGGTTGCAGCAGCAGATTACTAATTCACTGAGCATAAGCATGACACTATGCAATGGACTCTACAGAAATGCCTCTCCGATTTCCCAGGGCAGGGAGTAAAAACTTTTGACCATTAGAAATGTGACAGAGTGTCTGAGCCTGGTGGCTCACACCTGTAATCCCAACACTTTGGGAGGCCAAGGCAGGTGGATCACTTGAGGTCAGGAGTTCAAGACCATGCCTGTAATCCTAACACTTTTGGAGGCCAAGGTGGGAGGACCACTTGAGCCCAGCAGTTTGAGACCAGCCTGAGAAATATAGTGAGACCCTATTTCTACCAAAAAAAAAAAAAAATTAGCTGGACATGGTGGTATATGCTTGTGGTCCCAGCTATCAGGAAGGTGAGGTGGGAGGATTGCTTGAATCCACGAGTTCAAGACTGTAGTGAGCCATGATCACACCACTGCACTCCAGGATGGGCAACAGAGTGAGACCCTGTCTCAAAAAAGAAAAGAAAGAAAAGGAAAGAAGGAAGGAAAAGGAAGAAAGAGAAGAAAGGAAAAGCATGATAGGTGACTGATAGAACTGTTAAAAGTCCAAAAAATCAGTTACATTAAGAAACATGTATCCGGCCAGGCGCGGTGGCTCAAGCCTGTAATCCCAGCACTTTGGGAGGCCGAGGTGGGTGGATCACGAGGTTAAGAGATTGAGACCATCCTGGTCAACATGGTGAAACCCCATCTCTACTAAAAATACAAAAAATTAGCTGGGCGTGGTGGTGCGCGCCTGTAATCCCAGCTACTTGGGAGGCTGAGGCAGGAGAATTGCCTGAACCCAGGAGGCGGAGGTTGCGGTGAGCCGAGATCGCGCCATTGCACTCCAGCCTGGGTAACAAGAGCGAAACTCCATCTCCAAAAAAAAAAAAAAAAGAAAGAAACATGTATCATGGTTTCATTTGTTTTGTGGCACAAAGTTGCAGACCCATCAAGATAGAAAATAGCAGTCACAGCCAGGTGTGGTGGCTCATGCCTGTAATACCAGCACTTTGGGAGGCCAAGGCAGGTAGATCACCTGAGGTTAGGAGTTTGAGACCAGACTAACCAACACAGCAAAACCCTTTCTCTACCAAAAATAAAAAAATTAGCTGGGTGTGGTGGTGGGCACCTGTAATCCCAGCTACTCGGGAGGATGAGGCAGGAGAATTGCTTGAACCAGGGAGATGGAGGTTGTAGTGGGTGGAGATCGTGCCACTGCACTCCAGCTGTGGTGAAAAGAACAAAACTCCATCTCAAAAAAAAAAAGAAAGAAAGAAAGAAAATAGCACAGTCAGAGCCGGGCACAGTGGCTTATTCTTATAATCCCAGCACTTTGGGAGGCCCAGGTGGGCAGATCACTTGAGATCAGGAGGTCAAGACTGTCTGGCCAACCTGGTGAAACCGTGTCTCTACTAAAAATACAAAAATTAGCCAGGTGTGGTGGTGTGCACCTGTAGTCCCAGCTACTAGGGAGGCCAAGGCAGGAGAATCACTTGAACTCGGGAGGCAGAGGTCGCAGTGAGCCGGGACCACGACACTGCATTCCAGCCTGGGCAAGAAGAATGATACTCCATTTCAAAAAATAAAATAAAATTTAAAAATCAAATAATTAACTAACAGTACAACTAGTACTCAGACAAGGCAAACATCATTAAGGCGCACACAGTTCCCTAAAGACTGGGAGAAGATTCTCTGCTGAAAAATGAAATTCTAGGACTAGGGGTGGTAGATAGCACCAGGGACAGCCTTTTCTATTTACGTAAAACCCTCAACTTCTGTATTTTCACTTCCTCCCACTGCCTCTGCCCCTCAGGCAGATGAAGTGTTCACTCTGGGCTCCAGGGTCTCTTGCAGGCTCCTGCAAGGTTTATCTCGCTGCCCAGAAACCATGGAATTCAGTGATCTCCCCCAAAGACTGTGAGCTCCTAGGGTCAGGAACTGGGGCTGTAATCTATTGTATCCCCTGGGCCTTGATCACAGGAAGTGTCAACAAATGTTTTCAAACTGAACAAAATAAAGTGAGAGGAAAAGACTCCACCAAAAAGAATCCCACTGTTAAGATCCCAAGAGCAGGCCAGGCACGGTGGCTCACACCTGTAATACCAGCACTTTGGGAGGCTGAGGCGGGCTGATCATCTGAGACCAGCTTGACCAACATAGAGAAACCCTGTCTCTACTAAAAATACAAAATTAGCCGGGCACTGTGGCACATGCCTGTAATCCCAGCTACTCGGGAGTCTGAGGCAGAATTGCTTGAACCCGGGAGGCGGAGGTTGTGGTGAGCCTCGATCTCACCATTGCACTCCAGCCTGGGCAACAAGGGAGAAACTCCGTCTCAAAAAAAAAAAGGCCAGATGCAGTGGCTCACGCCTGTAATTCTAGCACTTTGGGAGGCCAAGGCAGGTGAATCACAGGTCAGGAGATCGAGACCATCCTGGCCAACATGTTGAAACCCTGTCTCTACTAAAAATGCAAAAATTAGCTGAGTGTGGTGGTGGATGCCTGTAATCCCAGCTACTTGGGAGGCTGAGGCAGAAGGATCCCTTGAACCCGGGAGGCGGAGGTTGCAGAGAGCTGAGATTGCACCACTGCACTCCAGCCTGGCAACAAAGTGAGACTCAAAAAACAAAATAAAAATAAAAATCCCAAGAGCTGCCTGTCCTGCCTCTGTGACCTGGGGTTCTCTCTCAGCGCAACCCAAGCCCAGACCCAGACACGTACCCGGTCAGAGTCCTGGGGGCCCCCATGAGATGTTCCATCAGGGTTAAAGTGGTCCCCACAGCTAAGAAAGAAAGGAAACAGGTGGTCAGGAAAGCAGGTCACAGGCCAGGTGTCCTACCGTCTCATCTATCTGTATTTGCTTCATCCATTTGTTCAACAAGCTGGCCTACTCTGTGCTGGGCTTTGGGCAGAGGGCACCAAAAGGAATCAGACATGGTACCTGTCCTCAATAAGCTTCAGGGGAGTCACAGATAAGTAAACAACTAGTTATATCACAGCAGGACAAATACCATGGCATGGGGACCCTTCCTTTCCTGTGTCCAGGAGTTCCCTTCCATCTCAGAGACAGTAAGGTGGTTACAAGCAGGACTTCAAGTTCAGATATATTTTTTTTGTTAGATGGAATTTTGCACAGTGGTGCAATCTTGACTCATCACAACCTCTGCCTCCTGAGTTCAAGCGATTCTACTGCCTCAGCCTCCTGAGTACCTGGGATTATAGCCATGTGCCACTGTGCCCAGCTAATTTTTTTTATTTTTAGTAGAGATGCGGTTTCACCATGTTCGCCAGGCTGGTCCTGACCTCTTGACATCAGGTGATCTGCCTGCCTCAGCCTCCTAAAGTGCTTGGATTACAGCCATGAGACACTGCACCCAGCCAAGGTCAGATCTTGACTCAAATCCCAACTCTACCTTTTACCTGCTCTGGACCTTTGGCAAGTCATTTAACCTCTTTGAGGCTCAGTTTCCACATTTGGAGGTTGTGCCTGTGTATATGTGCCTCAATGGGTATTCATGAAGGCCAGGTGTGAAAATGTGTAGCTGAGGATGCTACTGGAGAGACTTTAGACTACTCACCTGTTGCAGTTCTTTGTGAGGTCCCCGTACTGATGGACATGGAGTCCATGCAGCCCAGGCTCCAGTCCGTCAATAGTTCCCTCGATGAGGCAGTGCTCAGGGGTCAGCTGTAGGAAGCGCACCACCCCCTGCACAGTGCCAGGCCCCCCCAGGATGGCTACTGCTGCCCCCAGATTCTCTGCAAGGTATTAAAACACTTGGGCTGCCTTGCCACCTCACCCAGCACACATCTTCATAATTTTCATACCTTTCTCAAAGCCACTGCAACCCAGAGCCCCAGACTCCTATGGTTAGATTTGTACCAGCTCTGAGCCACCTCCCTCCCAGAAAGGCCAAGGCCAAAGCCATAGTGGTCACTCACGCAACTGGCCGCTGCCCATGCCCTTGAGTACTGCCTGCCGCCCCGTGCCTTCCAGGAGAGCCTGCACCTCCTGGCTGGGCAGAGTGGTGTGTACCAAGACCATCTGGTTCTCCAAGTGCACCTCCACATCCTGGACACCTGGCGGGAGAGAGAGGGAAGAGGACGACAGAGGCTGGCACCCACTGCTGGCAGCAGAGAACAGAGAAACAGACAGCGATTCTCCATCCCCATATCCACCAACCTTCCCATGGCCAGAGGCAAGCTACCTTGCAACTGTGTACCTTTAGTAAGCCTCTTCGCTCTGAGTCTGCTGCTTCTCATATAAATAAGGATAATACCCCTTGCCCTAAGGATTTCTGTGAGTTCTAATACATGCCAGGCATTATTTATAACTTTCAAAACATACATAATTTTTTTTTTGAGACAGAGTCTTGCTCTGTCACCCAGGCTGGAGTGCAGTGGCATGATCTCAGCTCACTGCAACCTCTGCCTTCCAGGTTCAAGCGATTCTCCTGCCTCAGCCTCCCGAGTAGCTGGGACTACAGGCACGTGCCACCATGCCCAGCTAATTTTTGTATTTTTAGTAGATACGGAGTTTCCATGTTGGCCAGGATGGTCTCAATCTCTTGACCTTGTGATCTGCCAGCCTCGGCCTCCCAAAGTGCTGGGATTACAGGTGTGAGCTACCATACCCGGCCAAAACATACATAATTCTTTTTAAAATGGTGTTTTTTAAGTGGGCTATCCCTAGCAGCATTATTCACAATAGCCATAAGGTCTAAATAACCCAAATGCCAATCAACTAATGAACAGATAAAATGTGGTATCCATACAATGAAATACTATTCAAGAATGAAATGCTGCCTGGCGCAGTGGCTCATGCCTGTAATCCCAGCACTTTAGAAGGCTGAGGTGGGTGGATCACGAGGTCAAGAGATCGAGACCATCCTGACCATGGTGAAACCCCATCACTACTAAAAATACAAAAATTAGCCGGGCGTGGTGGCATGCACCTGTGGTCCCAGCTACTCGGGAGGCTGAGGTGGAAGAATTGCTTGAACCCAGGAGGTGGAGGCTGCAGGGAGCTGAGATTGTGCCACTGTACTCCAGCCTGGAAATAGAGCAAGACTCCATCTGAAAAAAAAAAAAGGAATTAAATGCTGATACATGCTGCAACACGGATGGACCCTGAAACATTATGTTACGTGAAAGGCAGTCACAAAAGCCACATATATTATATAATGCCTGTACGTAAGATGTCTAAAATAGAGACATCTAGAACGGAGACAGAAAATACTCTTCCTGTAGGAGATAGCTTAAATTTTTTTTTTTTTTTTTTTTTGAGGCAGAGTCTCACTCTGTTGCTCAGGCTGGAGTGCAATGGTGCAATCTTGGCTCACTGCAACCTCTACCTCCCGGGTTCAAGCAGTTCTCCTGCCTCAGCCTCCCAAGTAGCTGGGATTACAGTCATGCACCACCACACGCAGCTAATTTTTGTAGTTTTAGTAGAGATGGGGTTTCACCATGTTGGCCAGGCTGGTCTCAAACCCCTGGCCTCAGGTGATCCGCCTGCTTTGGCCTCCCAAAGTGTTAGGATTACAGATGTGAGCCACTGCACCCAGTCAAAAAAAAAAATTTTTTTTTTTTTTTGAGATGGTGTCTTGCTCTTGTTGCCCAGGCTGGAGTGTAGTGGCGCAATCTCTGCTCACTGCAACCTCCGCCTCCTGGGTTCAAGGGATTCCCCTGCCTCAGCCTACTGAGTAGCTGGGATTACAGGTGCCCACCACCACGTCTAGCTAATTTTTTTGTATCTATAGTAGAAATGGGGTTTCACCATGTTGGCCAGGCTGGTCTTGAACTCCTGACCTCAAGTTCCACCATCCTAGGCTTCCCAAAGAGCTGGGATTGTAAGTGTGACCCATCGTGCCCAGCCTCGGGATTTCTTTTGTAAAAAAAAAATTTGTAAAGCCAGGCGCAGTGGCTCAACGAGGTGAAACCCTGTCTCTACTAAAAATACAAAAATTAGCTGGGCATGGTGGTGTGCGCCTGTAGTCCCAGCTACTCGGGAGGCTGAGGCAGGAGAATTGCTTGAACCCAGAAGGCGGAGGTTGCAGTGAGCCGAGATCATGCCATTGCACTCCAGTCTGGGTAACAACAGCGAAACTCCGTCTCAAAAAAAAAAAAAAAAATTTGTAGATGTGGGGTCTCAATTTGTTTCCCAGGCTGGTCTCAAACTTCTGGCCTCAAGAGATCTTCCCGCCTGGGCCTCCCAAAGTGTTGGGATTAGAGGTGTGAACTACCATGCCTGGCTTAGGATTTTATTTTTTTTGGAAACAGAATCTTGCTCTATCCTCCAGGATGGAGCACAGTGGTGCAATCTTGGCTCACTGCAATCTCCGCCTCCTTGGTTCTCACGTCTCAGTCTCGCAAGTAGCTGGGACTATAGGCACATGCCACCATGCCCAGCTAATTTTTGTATTTTTAGTAGAGACAGGGTTTCATCATGTTGGCCAGGCTAGTCTGGAACTCCTGACCTCAAGTGATGCTCCTGCCTCAGCCTCCCAAAGAGATTCCAGGGATGAGCCATCATGCCCAGCTCCTGCCTAGGACTTACTTATCAAGTGATGAAAATGTAAACCTAACAGTGGAGAGATGGTTGCACAACTCTGAATGTCCTACAAACAGCTGAACTATATCCTTTAAATGGGTGATGTATTTATTTATTTATTTTTAAGACGGAGTCTTGCTCTGTCAGCCAGGCTGGAGTGCAATGGAGCAATCTCAGCTCACTGCAACCTCTGCCTCCTGGGTTCAAGCGATTCTTCTGCCTCAGCCTCCAAAGTAACAGGTACTAACTACAGGTGTGCGGCACCACACCCGGCTAATTTTTTGTATTTTTAGTAGAGACGGGGTTTCATCATGTTGCCCAGGCTGGTGTCAAACTCTTGAGCTCAGGTTATCTGCCCACCTCAGCCTCCCAAAGTGCTGGGATTACAGGGATGAGCCACAACACCTGGCCTAAATGGGTGATTTTTATAGTAAAAATCATGGATTATATCTTTTTTTTTTTTTTTGAAACAGAGTCTTGCTTTGTCACCTAGACTGGAGTGCAGTGGTGTGATCTCAGCTCGCTGCAGTCTCTGCCTCCTAGGTTCAAGCAATTCTTCCTCAGCCTCCCAAGTAGCTAGGACTACTGGCGTGTGCCACCATGCCCAGCTAGGATTACAGGGATCCACCACCACATCTAACTAGCTAATTTTTGTATTTTTAGTAGAGATGGGGTTTCACCATGTTGGCCAGCTGGTCTCAAACTCCTGACCTCAAGTGATCTGCCCGCCTCAGCCTTCCAAAGTTCTGTGATTACAGATGTGAGTCACTGTGCAAAACCTATCATTTATATCTTAATAAACCCGTTACACACATAAAAGGGAGGTACTATAGCCATCATCAGTAGAGTTGACATTTACTGGGCACAGACTGTGAGCAAGGCCTGTGTTTGACCTGTCTTAACATATTTGGTACTTTTACTAAGCCTGAGAGTTAGGTACAATTATCCCTATTTGACAGACGAGAAAACTGAGGCACAGAAAGATGAGGAAACTTGCTCAAAGTCGTGCAACTGGTCCTCTGCCCATGCAGCCTAGCTCCAGAGTCCAGCACTTAACCCAGAGATTCTGCTCACCCTAGGAAGCAGCCCCTAGGCTCCAGGCTGGGTTAGGACCACACCCCTTGTGGTCCTGTAGCAGCTCATGCTCCCCTTCCTGTAATTCACACTGCACTGACTACAAGCCTCTGTTTCACTCCTAGGCTGTCAGCTCTGTGAGGGCAAGAGCTCTGTGAGGTTCACAAGGGTCAAGTTCAAAACTCAGTTGTCAGATGGCCAGGTGTGGTGGCTCAAGCCGGTAAGCCCAGCACTTTGGGAGGTAGAGGCAGGTGAATCACATGAGGCCAGGAGTTTGATATCAGCCTTGCCAGCATGGCATAACCCCGTCTTTAGTAAAAATACAAAAAATTAGCCAGCATGGTGGCATACTCCTGTAATCCCAGCTACTTGGGTGGCTGACACATGAGAATCACTTGAACCTGGAAGGCGGAGGTTGCAGTAAGTGGAGATGTGCCACTGCACTTCAGCCTGGACAACAGAGCAGAGTGAGACCCTGTCTCAAAAAAAAAAGGCTGTGCACAATAGCTCATGCCTATAATCCCAGCACTTTGGGAGGCTGAGGTGGGCAGATCACAAGGTCAAGAGATGGAGACCAGCCTGGCCAACATGGTGAAACTCCATCTCTACTAAAAATACAAAAATTAGCTAGTTAGATGTGGTGGTGGATCCCTGTAATCCTAGCTACTTGGGAGGCTGAGGCAGAAGAATCGCTTGAACCTCGGAGGTGAAGGTTGCAGTGAGCCAAGATCGCACCATAGCATTCCATCCTGGATGACAGAGCAAGATTCCATCTCAAAAATAAAAATAAAATAAAATAAATCACACTGGCTTTTATGTGCAAACCTATTAGAGGGGACAACAGAAGCAATGGGGGACCCATCAAAGGATGAGGTTCGTACATGGCTGGGGAGAGGCTGGTGCCCTGGAGCAGTGTGGAGGCCTGATTATGTTTTAGACACACAGAAGATAAGATGTCCTGATGACAGGCCTCAGCATAGGGGAGTTCCCAGACCCTGGGGTCTCCAGAGAAGAGCTGATTCCCTCCTCCTGAACTGGGAAGCCCCTTGTCACTATGCACCTCCTGAATTCTTGACTGAGTCTGAGCCAAGAGGGAGGCAGGTTCCTTAGCTAAGCAGCCATTCAATTTGATCCTTGACTGGTAGACCTCGGAACATGGCCAGGCCCAGCCTTGGTTGGCTCAGAGCCCAGTGAGGGAGAGAACAGAAGGCCAAACAACACAGTCACCAGAAGTCTTTATCTGGTGCCTTAAAAACATTCTGAGGGCTGAAAACTGTCCTGGATCCAAGAAAAAGGCCAGCTGTCTGCTCTCCTGGCAGGCGAGTTTTACAGGAAGTGGAGGGCTCATGCACTACCCAAAACACATCGTCTAAGCAAACCCAGCTTCAACATTATCCCCTCCAGCCTCCCTCCAACCAGATCACCACCTGTAAGCCCTTCCTCTCAAAATCCCCTAGGATTTATTGGGCTATTACTACATGTCAAAGACTTTTCTAAGTGCTTTTCTTGTATTGGTTACTCTTCAGGAAAATCCTCCAGAGTAGCTTCTATTATCATCCCCCATTGAACACTGAAGAAACAGAGACACAAAAAGTTACATGCATGAAGTCTTAGTGCCATTAAGTGTCAAAGAGGGGGTCTGAACTCTAGAGCTCATGCCCCTAACCACTATAACCACTATACAGAGTCCACCACTACCAGCTTCAGAAGCCATCTCATCTCATTCTCTCTCAGAATTGCTCTTTCCACGAAGTGTTCTGTGAACACCGTCCAGGCAGTGCTTGCATGCTCATTTCCACCTGAGTGCAAGGGATGTGCCTGATACCCCTGTGAACTCTTCTCCCTAAAAAGCCCTAGTATCTGGTCCATACCTGCCGAATGACTGGGTACATTTTTTTTTTTTTTTGAGACAGGTTCTCACTCTGTCACCCAGTCTGGAGTGCAGTGGCACAATCGCAACTCACTGCAGCCTTGACCTCCTGGGCTCAAGTGATCCTCCTCCCTCAGCCTCCCCAGTAGCTGGGACTACAGGAGCATGCCACCATGCCCAACTAATTTGTGTGTATTTTGTAGAGAAAGGTTTTTGCCATGTTGCTCAGGCTGGTCTCAAACTCCTGGACTTGAGCAGTCCACCCAGCTCAGCGTCCCGAAGTGCTGGGGTTACAGGTGTGAGCCACTGAGCCAGGCCGGGATGAACACTTAACAGAATCAAAGGAAGCCAGTTCCCAGAGCCATACTGGTGGCTCTACCTTTCCAGATATTTCTAATTATGCCAGGTCACCTCCAGAGCAGCTGACCTTTTAAGAACCAGAAGCCACCCAGGATGGCAAAGGGCCAGCACTACTGTTCACTTTGTCAACACTATGGTGTTGCCCAAGCAGGAACTGCCTGTTTTCCAAGGAACTCCCTCAGTCTAACTCCTCAGTCTCCGGGGGCACAGGAGGTTCAGGACTGCCAGACAAGCAGTTAGAGCCTGTCACAGAGCAAGCTGGAGAGCTGTACTCTAGGCTCTGCCTCCAGGTCTGTGTGTGACTCAGAACATTCCCTCCACTCTCGGGGGTTCGGTTTCTGCATCTGTAAAATGGGAGTAGGGTTCAACTAATAGATTCACCTGGTCCCTCCCAGAGGCCTCTTGACTGTCCGCAGAAAATTTTACCCTGTTCTTACCTGCCACCCCTTGCAGGGACTTCCGAACCGCATCCACACAGCTCTGACAAGTCATCTGCACCGCGAACTCCAACTGCAAGGGAGGCATGGACCAACGGATGATCACTGGTGAAGCGCCTTGGTATGACCTTGTTTCACCACCTACCCTATGACCACCCCCTGGGCCTGGGAACAAACCTCACATAACCCTTCTTCAAGCACCTTCTTCATGATCACTCATGAGCATTCCAGGACCATGGTGTCACCTCCCCAACACTCACGCAGGCCCTCTGCTACCCTCTCACCCTAGTTTCACCCCGTGGCCCCAGGCCCCAACCCAGGTGCCCACTCCATCCCCTCTTCCCAAGGTAACAATCACCCCAAGGGCCAAGGCTCTCTGCCTGGCGAGGCTCTACAGGAAGCCTCGACCCTCACCGTGCAGAGGGTCCCCTGGGTCCCCGAGTCCGAAGCCATTCTGGACCCAGTCACCAGCTCGAGACGCACAGCGGCTCCGGCGCAGGAGTGCCAACCAACGCTCTGTCGCGGGGAAGGAGCCCCGAAAGCCACTCCTTAGCTCCGCCTCCTAATGCTTGCGCGCGCGCGAGGCCCTGCCCCTGTCTGTCAAAGGGTAGCGGCCGCGCAGGCGCACTCGGGCTGTCGGGTCCCTGGTTGCCTTAGTAACCACTCGGCTTTCTGTTCACCTACGGCTGCTGCCGCCGGCGCTGAGATGGAGCCCGCAAAGCCCGAGGAGCTCCAGCGGTTTTACCACCGATTGCTGCGTCCGTTGTCTCTCTTCCCCACTAAGGCGACGTCCCCAGAGCCTCAGAAGCGCCCCCGACAGGAGGGCCGGATTCTGCAGTCCTTCCCTCTCGCGAAACTGACGGTGGCGTCGCTATGCAGCCAGGTGGCCAAGCTGCTGGCCAGCAGCGGGATGTCAGCTCCTGTGCCTCCTGAAACCCGACTACGTCTCATCAGGGTCATCCTGGATGAGCTGAAGTGCAGCTGGCGGGAGCCGCCCGCCGAACTTAATCTGAGCCACAAGAACAACCTGAAGCTCCGGAAGCGTCTCGAGGCCTACGTGCTGCTGAGCAGCGAGCAGCTCTTCCTGCGCTACCTGCACCTGCTGGTGACCATGTCGACCTCCAGAGGGGTCTTCACTGAATCGGCCACCCTTACCCGGTTGGCCGCCAGCCTCGCCAGGGACTGCACACTCTTCCTCACTAGTCCCAACGTCTACCGTGGCCTGCTCGCCGACTTCCAGGCCCTGCTGAAGGCAGAGCAGGCCTCTGGAGGTGTGGACAAGCTGCGCCCCGTCTGCCCCGCTGGAACGTTCAAGCTTTGTCCTATCCCCTGGCCTCACAGCACTGGCTTCGCCCAAGTACAATGCTCTAACCTCAACCTGAATTACCTCATCCAACTCAGTCGTCCACCAGAGTTTCTCAATGAGCCAGGAAGGATGGATCCAGTGAAGGAATTGAAGTCCATCCCTCAGCTGAAGAGGAAAAAGCCTCTCCACTGGCTGCCCTCCTTAGGAAAGAAGAGAGAAATCGACATCAGTTCCTCACCGATGGTGTCGCTGCCCAGCTATCCTGTGGCTCCTACCAGCAGGGCTTCCCCCTCGACTTTCTATTCCGAGCTCCGGAGAAGCCAATCCATGCCCTCCCTGCGTGAGGGCTGGAGACTGGCAGATGAGTTGGGCCTTCCTCCACTCCCATCTTGCCCCTTAACCCCACTGGTCTTGGCTACAGAGAGCAAACCAGAGCTGACTGGGTACATCGTGGCTGAGGATCTGAAGCAGTTGTTAAAGAACATGAAATTGGAGAGGACTCGCTACCCGCCACTGGACTCAGGCCTGCCTCCTCTCCTGGGGGTTGTGACCCGTCCCCCAGCTGCAGGGCATCACCTGGAGGAGCTGGAGAAGATACTGAGGAACCTCCAGGAGGAAGAGACCTCTGGGCAGTGGGACCCCCAGCCACCCAATTCCTTTCCACTTCACCCACAGCCAGTGACCATTACTTTGAAGCTTAGAAAGGAGGTCGTGGTCCAGGCGGCTGCCGTACAGGTGTCTGTTAGAAACTTTTTAGACTCTTTCCACGTTGAGGGGGCTGGAGCCCTATATAACCATCTGGTTGGTGAACTGGATCCTAAAGACATTGAAAAAATGGATATTGATAACTTCGTTGGCAGTATCAGGGAGGTCTATAAGGAGTTGATGAGCCGGGTCTCTGCTGACCACTTACATTTTGATCAAGGGCCCCTAGTTGAGCCTGCAGCAGATAAAGACTGGTCGACCTTCCTGTCCTCAGCCTTTCTGCGTCAAGAAAATCAGTCTCGAATCATCAACCCTGAGCTGGTTGGACATTACTCCCAAGGAGAAAACACTTTACAGTCTGATGCTGGGAAGGTGTCCCCCTTCCCATCACCCCAAGCTACCAAAAACAAGCCCTCGATGAATGGGTGGAAAACCACCTTGTCCGTGGATGACTACTTCAAGTACCTTACCAACCACGAAACAGATTTCCTTCATGTCATTTTTCAAATGTATGAAGAAGAGGTTCCTGGGGAGACTGTGGCCCCTGTCAGTGAGTCCCTAGAGATTCAGCACCCTCACCCATTGCTAGAAGATGAAGAACCAGACTTTGTGCCAGGAGAGTGGGATTGGAACACTGTGCTAAAGCACAGGCTAGGAGCTGGGAAAACCCCCCACCTGGAAGAATCACACAAAATCCTGAGCCTACAGAAGCGTCTGCAACAACTGTGGTATGTGCTTGAGGTCCCCGACAAAGACCAAGTGGACATGGCCATTAAGTACAGCTCCAAAGCCCGTCTGAGACAGCTGCCTTCATTGGTGAATGCCTGGGAGCAGGCCCTGAAGCCCATTCAGCTGCGGGAGGCATTGCTAGCGAGACTAGAGTGGTTTGAGGGACGAGCTTCCAACCCCAACCGCTTCTTCAAAAAAAACCAACTTGAGCTCCAGTCACTTCGTGGAGGAGAATCAGATCCGAAGGCATCTCCACAGGAAGCTCAACTTAATGGAGTCTTCTTTGGCTTCCCTCCTGGAGGAGATTGAGTCAATCTTTGGTGAGCCAGTGATCTTCAAGGGGCGGCGCTACCTGGACAAGATGAAGAGCGACAAAGTGGAGATGCTCTATTGGCTGCAGCAGCAGCGGCGGGTTCGCCATTTGGTCTGGGCCCTGAAGGCCCCCCGACCAGTCAGCCCTGTTCAAGAGCTCAGCAGCCAGCCTTTGGTAGCTCCTAGAAATACCCGTATTACCCCTTGACCCAGTGCCCTCAAACGCCTCCCTTACCCCCAAATGGCCAGCAGCTCATCTAGACCTCTTTACTGCTTTGGAAGAAGAAATATTTGTCTATATCTAGGAGTGCAGGGTTCAGGAACATTATGCTTCCAACTATGAAGGGACTGGGACTAAAACTATTGTTGTCACAATGAAATTCTCATAAAAGAATCCCCAAGCCTAGTAGTCCCATTATGTCAAGCACTGCACAATACAACCCAAACCTCTTATATCACTGAGGGCTGGGCGTGGTGGCTCACACTTGGAATCCAAGCACTTTGGAGGCCAAGGCGGGCGAATCACCTGAGGTCGGGAGTTCAAGACTATCCTGACCAACATGGTGAAACCCTGTCTTTAAAATAAAATAAAATAAAAACTGAGACCTTGGAGTTCATTATAGTGGGAAAGGTCAGACAGGCAAAGCTGATCTTCAGAACAACTCATTTTAGCATTTCTACCAGGCTACGTTAAATTGTCACCTCTTTTAGTTCTCACACACTATTAGGAAGCTAAAATTAATTAAAATGTTACCAGTTACATGTATGTGGTACAAAGTATACCAGGATGTGTGCTGAAAAGTAAATCTTCCCATACCTACCTCCAGTATCTCAGTTTCCTGTTGTGGGGATAAGTGTTACAATATTTTTTTGTTGTTGTTTAAAAGATGGGGTTTCACCATGATGGCCAGGCTGGTCTTGAACTCCTGACCTCAGGTGATCCACCCACCTTGGCCTCCCAAAGTGCTAGGATTACAGGCGTGAGCCACTGCGCCTAGCAACCCCCCCACCGCCTTTTTTTTTTTTTTTTTTGAGATGGAGTCTCACACTGTCACCTGGGCTGGAGTGCGGTGGTACAGTGGTGCGATCTCGGCTCATCGCAACCTCTGCCTCCCAGCTTCAAGCAATTCTCCTGCCTCAGCCTCCTGAGTAGCTGGGATAGGTGCTTGCCACCACATCTGGCTAATTTTCTGTATTTTTAGTAGAGACAGGGTTTCACTATGTTTGCCAGGCTGGTCTCGAATGCCTGATCTTGTGATCCACCCACCTCAGCCTCCCAAAGTGCTGGGATTACAGGCGTGAGCCACCACAACCGGCCTACAATTTTTTAATTTTATTTTTATTTCTTGAGACAGAGTCTCACTCTGTCGCTCAGGCTGGAGTGCAGTGGCATGATCTCAGTTCACTGCAACCTCTGTGCCTCAGGTTCAAACGATTCTCCTGCCTCAGCCTTCTGAGTAGCTGGAATTACAGGTGCACGCCACCATGCTCAGGTAAATTTTGTATCTTTAGTAGAGACAGGGTTTCACCATGTTGGCCAGGCTGGTCTCAAACTCCTGAGCTCTATCAATCAGCCTCAGCCTTCGAAAGTGCTGGGATTTCGGGTGTAAGCCACAGCACCTGGCCTTTTTTTTTTTGAGATGGAGTCTCGCTGTTTTTACCCAGACTGGAATGCAATGGCACTATCTCAGCTCACCGCAAGCTCTGCCTCCTGGGTTCAAGCAATTCTCCTGCCTCAGCCTCCCGAATAGCTGGGACTACAGGCACACACCACCATGCCCAGCTAATTTTTGTATTTTTAGTAGAGATGGGGTTTCACCTTGTTGAGCAGGATGGTCTCGATCTCTTGACCTCATGATCCACCCGCCTCGGCCTCCCAAAGTGCTGGGATTATAAGCACGAGCCACGGCGCCCAGCCCCGCCTTTTTTTTTTTTTTTTTTTTTTTTAATTTTAGAGATGGGGTCTTGTTCTGTTGCCCAAGCTGGAGTGCAGTGGCCTGATCATGGATCACTTTTAGCCTTGAACTCTTACTTAGGCTCAAGCTATTCTCCTGCCTCAGCCTCCAAAGTAGCTGGGACTACAGCTGCTCACCACCACACCTGGCTAATTTTTTAAGTTTCTTTAAAAATATATGTTTTTTAGGGTGGGGTGTGGTGGCTCACGCCTGTAATCCAAGCACTTTGGAGGCCAAGGTGGGCAGATCACTTGAGGTCAGTTCAAGACCAGCCTGACCAACATGGTGAAACCCCGTCATTAAAAAAATAAAATAAAGCCGGGCTCGGTGGCTCACACCTGTAATTCCAGCACTTTGGCAGCCTGAGGTGAGCGGATCACCTGAGATTGGGAATTCAAGACCAGCCTGCCCACGTGGAGAAACCCTGTCTTTCTTTAAAAATAAAT